GATAAAAGACATTCTACCGATTGGATGTTTTGGGGTGTCTATGATGGTCATGGAGGCTGGACCACTAGTGCAAAACTTAGAGACGAGCTCATTCATTCTGTTCTCACTGAATTAGATAAGTCCTATGTCAAGTCTTCATCAAATTCTGTATATAGACTGATTCCTTCGGCTGATATCATTAACAATGCCATTGAAAAAGGGTTTGTCAAACTCGACGATGAAATTGTTTACAGAAGTGTTGAAAGATTACTCGCCAACCCAACTAAGGCTGGTGCTGCTGAACTTATTGCGCCTGCTTTGTCTGGCTCCTGCGGACTGTTAGCTTTTTACGATACTTATAGCAAAGATCTTAGAGTTGCTGTTACTGGTGATTCTCGCGCGGTGCTGGGCACTCGTGGCGCCGATGGAGAATGGTCTGCTTGTGCTCTCAGTACTGACCAGACAGGTTCAAACGAAGAAGAGGCTGCTCGTCTGCGTTCAGAGCACCCAGGTGAAGAATCGACGGTTGTCCGCAGAGGTCGTGTTTTGGGTGGTCTTGAGCCCACTAGAGCTTTTGGTGATGCCAGATACAAGTGGACCAAAGATTTTCAAGAGCGCATTCAAAAAAGCTTTTTTGGTCGTAGGACACCACAAGAACTAAAAACTCCTCCTTATGTCACTGCTAGACCTGTTATCACTACAACCAAGATTAAGCCTGAAAACGGAGACTTTCTTGTAATGGCTACGGACGGTCTTTTTGAAATGCTATCCAATGAAGAAATTGTTGGCCTTGTTGTTGAATGGATGCAGGCTAAGCAACCTCAATACCTAACAGTTCCAGTCAAGGAAAAATCTGACTCGTTGTGGACAAAAGTTTTTGGTGGCAAAAAGGGTAGTGAATCGGGCACTAGTGTGACGGCTGATAATGTTGGTCTTACTGTGACAGTTCGCGACACTTCTCTCAATCGTGAGTCTCAGAAACAGCCGATCCGTAGACGTTATGGTTCACCGCCTCCTCATTTTACTGTTGAAGATGAGAATGTTTCGACTCATCTTATTCGCAACGCGTTAGGTGGTGGTGATATTGAGCAAGTGTCTATGCTGGCTAGCATCCCGTCACCGATTTCTAGAAATTATAGAGATGATCTGACGGTCACAGTTGTGTTTTTCGGTAACAGCTCACAGGATGAGGATGGTGGTTCGGTGCGTGTTAACGACTTAGCTACTAGAAATAATCTGAGGAACCCTGCGAAGGCAAAGTTGTAAATCTTAGTTTAGACAAGCCACTAATTTTCATAGGTTTTTTTTTTTTTTTATTTCATATTGCCTGTAAACGTGTTTGAAAATGATATTTTCATGAGTTATTTACAATTATCAACAGAGATGCGATTAACAAAATCACAAAAGTTTTAAACAATTGATTGTTTACAATGCTGGATAATATATCTATTTCATGAAAACCTTTTTGTATTGATTAGTATCTTGGAGCAAGTTTTACTATATGAGTTCACAAGTTTCTGTATCTAGATGTACTTAATAGATTGGATTAAGAAAAACTGCTGCCTGATACCAGATGACCATAATTATATTAAAATGTTAGTGATTTATACACGGTAAAAAATATGAAAAAGCTTTAAGTATTTTTTTGAAGTAAGTCCAAGAGTCGTATCAAACTCCTATGAGAAATAAACACTGAATGTCAAATGTTTTTTTTTTTTTTTGCGTGTGTGCGTGTATGTTAGCTGTTTTATTAAAAGTCGTGATTGATTTAGTATAAATGTTAAAAATAGGTTTTTCACCTTTACTCACCCAAAATCTCTAGATGCCTCTATATTTTGAGGAACCCAAAATCCACTGCAATCTAATACAATGAAATATGGAAGGCTATCGAGGCAGCTGATTATTCCTTTCATAAATCGATCTTGTCGATATTTTTGCTCAACCAATTTCTGGTCTCGTAGCAGTCAATCTGGCAACGGCCAGCTTACCAGGAGTAATGCATTTTTTTTTCACTTCAACGATCCGCCATTTAATCTCAACACTCTTGTCAGCAGGGTCCAAAAGTCGGGGCTTCTCGATAATCCGGTAGCTCATAACGCAAACTCCACTAACGAGCTCTTGGAACCAATTTTCATTGATGCGATTCACAGTTGCAAGGAGCTTTCTCGGATGTTGGCATCTGTCAAAGGCACGCACGGTAGTCATACTACAGACATTCACAAACTCAAACAGTCGCTTAAAAAGTCAAGAAAATTCAAGACACCATTGCATCTTCTTGAATCAATAATGGAAGCAAATAGTTCAGTAATATCAATGCCGGTAATCAGAGCTTATCTTTCAGAGGAGCCATTTCCCGAAACTGTACAAGCAATTTCAGTTTTAAAACCTCCATCAATAGGAAGCAGTGTCAAGCAAAGAAAATTAACATCCGCAACTGATGACTATAACAGTTTGATCTATATTGCGCTGCGGCGAGCGTTACTACGAAAAGAGATTAAATATGCCTATGAACTAGCGGCCCTTGCAAAATCATCAGCAATTACCTCTTCTAATCGACACATAATTCTTAGTAATGTGACACTTTCTATCATGAGTACTGGTGCTGTTATTGCGCTTTCTCAGGTTTTTGTTATTCCTTTTGCTGTAACAGCCATGTTGATGATGTGTATGGTATTGCTTCAGTATACACAGCTGCTGAAACTGCTCGGCACACGAACCCGTGTCCGTTTGAGGCGACTTTCAAGTGCAGTTTCCCCTACCTCATCAATATGGGCTCAGCAGGTTTGGTTTGATATGGTAAATCGCATTACTATTGCTTATGATGAATTGATTGATCTTAATGTTGATAATTTTCACCATTTAGCCAATGAACTCCACAAACACCGACAAGAGAAGCTAGAGGGAAATCAGATTCACGACAATATTCCGCCAATAACTGATATTGATCTGCAAAAAGAAGCACGCGAAGTTCAACAGAAAGAGTTGGTTAAGGCTAAATTGACTCTTGAAGAAACAGACCAGGAGCGAATGTTTAACGAGTATTGGACGTCAGCTGGTTTGGGTTTTGAGTGGGTTGAGCCAGATCAAGATCCTGCTGATGAACTAATAAAACGCATTCGAGAGAAAAATAGATTTTGAGTCGATATTTATTGTTAACAATTTCTTATAGCTAAATGTGGGAATGTTTTGATAAATTGAAAATAGAGATTTGTTAATTATGATGAGTATTTACGATTTGTATAATGTAACTGACTTGTTTTGTGGAAATTGGAGAATGTGGTCAATGAAAAATAAAAAATAAAGACAAAAAATCACCGTGCAAAACTGAAAATTAGATAAAAAGACATATTGATTGTCTTCATATCAAAGATTACGTGCCACAAACAACATACGTATGGATAATCTGTTTATTGTCCTCACATCACATAGTTACATAATTAAATTAATAATAACAAAGATATACAAAGAAGACATGGAATTCAAAAACATTTGTCTCTGTGAGACTTTAAAATTAGCGTTCTCAGTGTGCTTTAGTTGATTCTGTTATTCAATGGCGCCGAAACCTTTATGAAATAATACATGTGCTAAGGGGAACCTGAGATACAGAACACCTGCTGAAATCATAACAGAGATTGACACACAGTAAAACCTTAACAAGCTGCTTTAATCAAGCAATCAGCAAAAAAGTTGCGGTAATGAGTTCAAGAACTTGATTACCGCTCCAAGACCCTTCTTGGTATCAAGCAGGATTCTTAGATCAAGTTCCGGGGGAACTTTACTCAAGAAGATACGCTCTACAGGATGTAGAGGGCACTTCTTGAAAACGTGTTCAACTGTTTCCAGCTTTCCACATTTGCAGTTATAATCTCTCTCAGTAATACGCCTTATTTGGAAATACTTCCCAAGAGCACCATGACCTGTTCGCAGTTGAAATAACTTGCTAAAGATATGGCGAGACATAGTCCTCATGAATGGTTCCAGTGGATTGGGATACTTACTGTTATACAACTCTCGTTGAGTACAAGAGTAGTATTGTCGAAGTTCATCTAACTTATCATAGTCATTCTGCCACTCAGCTCGTGATGTACAGTGCATAGTGCTTTTCAGCTTCTGCAATGGTGTACGAGCTTTTTTGTCTCGATCATACTTTAAATGTTTCCAAGGTGGACTCTTACTCCAGTACTTGTCATCATCAATGCTTTCCGTTTGTTTGATTCTCACAAATAGTTCGTCAAGGTCGCCTTCAGGTAGTTTACTACAAGTAGCAAGTTTTCTAACAAGGTTTCGCGGGCTGAATCTCTGATGGCTCTGACAGCAAACCGGTCACAGATTTCTTGCATTTTTATATCCACAGATAAGATGTAGGCATCGTGCTGTATTGAATTGACAAGCGCAGACTTGAACGCATTTAAAATCTTACGTAAAGCAGAATTCTGAATCTTTTGAAGTTCATTTTTCCGTTGACCTGTCAATTTGTGATAGCAAACGAAACTGGCATATTCAAATATTAGCCGCACACATATGTAGAGCTATTTTGTTTGCTAACCAGGAATACCTCTGTACATACTATCAAGTGCTTTTTATTATACTCATGGCTTTCTTGGATTTGAAAGTGACATTCTTTGCATGCTCATGAAACTTGAATTCACAATTAATTGTCAGCCCCAGCAACTTTAGGCTCTTTTGAGCATGCCGTTTGCCTAAGCCAGAGATCGGGAAAGTAAGTTTCCTAGGAGCTCTCTCCTTTTTTTTTTTTTTTTCTTCTTCTTCTTCCGCAACACGAAGAGGACATTGGATTTAAAAACATTTGTCTCTATGAGATTTTAATTAGCATTGTCAGTTCGCTTTCAAGTTTTTTTTGCCCATTTATTTTTTTAATGATATATATTTGAGTAAAAGATTTTCCAAGTAAAAATTTGATTTATAAAGCAAATTTCAAAACAGAATAATAAAAGAAATAGCGGTAAGAAATAATAAATCAATTAAATCTAATTAAATAAAAATAATCTAATTCAAACAAATCCCGCGTAGCTCAGTTGGTAGAGCGTTTGACTTTTAAGCAACTTGTATGCGATCAAAACGTCCAGGGTTCGAGCCCCTGCGTGGGAGTTGTAGATTTTTTTATTATTTACAATATTGCGTTACTATGGAAACACATTTTGTTACTCCTTTTTTTTTTTTTTTCATTGACTTTTTCTGGATCAAAATGGTCGGCCACAAGATCACGATTTTATCAATTCTGATATTTTACAACATCGGTTACGACGCTTTCCTGTTGTCACCCCGAACATATCGAGTTTGAGTTCAAAATAAAAAAAAAAAATAAAAAAAAAAACTTTTTTATATTTTTTTTATCATGCCAGAATTAAAGTATGGCCAACTTAGACGTCAAAGTATGACTGATTCGCACTCACTTAACAACACATCTCAGTTGAAACGGTCTACTACAGTTCATGGAGCGTCTTCAACCTCAGCTAAAAAAAAGACAGAGATGAAAAATAACAGTCGAGACGATATTGTTAATATGCGTTTAGAGATTATGCAGTCGTTACGCCGGTCGCCAACGAAGTTGTATGATGACGATACTAACAGACTCCCTCCAGTCGAGCAATCAGAAAGCGTTCTTAAGCTCAACGCTCATAATCTTCAACCTCCATTATCAGTTTTGACGAATTCATCCGTTGGAGATACCTATCATCATACAGACCCAACAAAAAATTCTATTGAGGACTTGCAAGATGATCTCTCTGCCCAAGCTGACTTTGCTGAAGACCACATTGAAGCTGAGGACATTGAAGACCATCAAATGGAAGACCAAGTCGAATATGAAGAGTGCAACAACAGGAAACTTCAGAATAATACTAGTACATTAGAAACTACTTCAACGCTTTCTCCTCTCAACACTGCAGATTCTAGTAAATCACAAATTTCAAAAAGAGTCTTTAGCAGACAACATAATCCTGAAAAGTTGCAATCTAACCTACCGACAATAATTCAATCTATTCAGCACCCTCGAAAGAAGACTCGAAATTCGTCTTCTGCTGCCATCATTCAACCGGTATCAATACAAAATATTCCGACTAATCTTCCTCAGAGATCTGTTTCGACAACCTTTGCTTCTTATGGATCAGACAAATTGAAAACTACTTCCCGTCCTACTCTACTTACGTCTGAAATTGCAAAAATGAACATCACAAAAAATTCTATCCCCCGAGCTGTCAGCAGTTCTGGTCATCGGTTAGCATCTAATGGAAGATTACAACCGTTTGATAAATTTAGCAACACTCTAGAGCATGAGGAAGTGATAACATTAAAACATACACAGTCAAAAAGACAGCAAAATCTAGAGGAGTTGATTCCTAGAAACGAGTATTCGATTATCAGGAAAAACTTGAAGAATAAAAGTAGTAATACGAGCTTGTATAGATCAACAAGTACAACTTTCAAGGAGCAACCTCCTCATGAAGAAGAGAACGATATAGAGGAGATTGAGGTTAGAATGAGCAAAGAAAAGTTTGAAAAAGATGAAGAAGTCGGTGATGTTAATTTTCCAGTGCTCCCAGAGCCCAAAACTGAAAATATTGATTTTGTGGATATTACTAGACTTAAAGCACAACATGCTACTGATATAGCTAGTCTAAAAGCTCAACTGGCTGGAAAAGACACTGAACTGGCTAGAATGAAAGAGTTTATGCTTGTTTCTGAGCAGAAGGCTCTTGAAAGTGAGAGACATCTGATAGAAAGCTTGGAAAAAGTTGCAAAAGAATTGCATAGTCAATATAGTCTGAAACATGAAACAAAAGTTCAAGCACTAAAAAGGCAACATTCGAATGATCTTGAACAGAAGCTCCAAAAATATCAAGATCGTATTAATAATCTTGAAGCAGTTATTGAGCAAGAAAGGCTAGAAAAAGATGAGTTGGTGAAAACGTGCGACATGTATCTTGATATGGAGGAGCAAAGAGTAAAGGAAGAAGAAGAGCGCAAAAAAGGCCTTAAACCAACAGCCGTTTCAAAATTACCTCTACTTCAAAGGACCCGACGATAGATCAATATAGAATATAATCTACTTAATATTTACGAATAATGAACAAGTTTTCAAATCAAATTTGTTTATGTACTAATAAACCACTAATATATTGTTCACCAAGATATTTTCATAAACAAGATCAATATACGTACCAAGACGTTAAAGACACTAATCGTTGACGATAAGAGTTTAAAGAGCTTATATGCGTATACATTTTTTGGATTTTAGCAAGGGGAGTGTTAAAATAAAAAATTGATTAAATTGATTTTTAATAAATTTCAAGATAGAAGAAAGCAGCTAAAAAATAAAAACAAAAAAAAACATTGATCATTGAAGTTTCTTCAACTAAGGTAGTCATGTTTATAACCGCCCAGGCACCTCTTTTTCTTTTCTAAAAGTCTTAAATATACTAGGGCTTTATATTGATAATAAACTCAAAAACAAAAAAAAAATCTCACAAAAGCCTTAAGAGATATTTGTTTTGGAAAGAAATTGCAGATGAGTTGATGAGCTATTTAGTTATTACCTCTGTTAATGAAGGAAGGTTGCTACCGTGTAAACTGTTATCACAAACTACATAAGCTGCTATTTTTTTATTTTTAATTTTATTTGAAGCGGTAAATTAACTTAAGTTTAATACAGAAAAAAAAGCGAATGATTCAGATGCTTTTCAAGTGTTTTCATGGTGTGTGCATTTTGTACAGTTGCTTGAAATTTCTATTTCTGTCTTTTTTTTTTTTTAAAACACCTCAACTTCCCCATTCTTTCCTCATCCACCACTCTGTTTTTCCTCTTCTTTTCTTCCTAATCGTAAATAATCAGTTATTTAAACGCCTTATCTTTATCTTATTGCACTCCTTAATCAATAATGGTAACTATTAAAAATGAATTCAAGCATGAATAAAGTATCTTCACCTAAAACCCCTAAATCTGTTCACAACCGACCGCACACTGAAGACATCAACGATTCACAGTCGCAACCTCTTAACCCATCGCCATTTTCGTTCAAAAATGAATTTTCATCTCATCCACCCGCCTCTCCAGCTGGAAGCACGTCATCTTCTATTTTTCAGTCTCCGCAGGGATCTAACCCTGTCTCACCAGTTCGCATGAACCTTCCCGATGCTTCTTCATATTCTAATATTAACTACAACTCTCTTACTAGTCCGCCACCAAAGTTTGATAGTCCTCATAATCGCACAAACCAAGGGCACTCACCACATGTAGCTAATGATGTGCAAAGGAATCAACAACTGCAGCAATTGTACGATGTTAATGGTTTACCTTCACCGGTTGAATTTATTGAGGGTACCACTGCCCACACTGAAAAGTTGCGTTTTTCAGCAGACTCTACCACTGGTAGGGCTGTGACCCCAATATTAAGCAGCAAGGATTCTTTTCCAACATCAGTAGCATCGCCGACTCCCAGAGCTATTTTTTTGCCAAAAAGTTTGGTTCAGCGATCACTCAAAAGTAGTACAGAATCTTTGAAACCTCCTCTTCCTATTGTGAGCTCAAATGAAAAGCTGGACCAAATTCCTGTAGACCGTGATTTTGATGATACAAGCGACGTAAATGGCGTTGGCTCCAGTTTACCATTGGATTCTGCTAGTCGGACAATAGATTCTCCCGATTCATGTTATTCTGAAGAAGATCTTCCTGCTTCTAAAGAGCACTTACCTCATAAAAGGTCGGTTGCGAGAGCTAACCACCCTGCTTCACTAAATTTTGATTTAAATTCTGATTTACTATCAGCCTCTGAATCCCGCGAGAATTTGCAGAAGAGATTTGATAAAAATCGGGGTTCATCAGCCCCATCAACTCCTAAATCGTCCCAGAATTTGGATGGGTTCAATAAGAATGTTGTCTCGCAGTCAACTCGTTCTTCGCTCAAGGTTTCTGTGTCATCAAGTTCTACACCTTCAGGTAATATTCAAAAAGTCCTGTCGCCCTCAAGTACAAACTTTCCTTCAATTGATAATTATACTTTTGAAGAGTTAAAAACACTACTCAGTGAGAAGCTTATTGAACTGTCACAAATACAATCGCAGAATGCTCAACTATGGGCACTTGTCAACAAACAACGAAATATGATTTTTGATTTACAGAAAGACCTTGATGGTGCTGTTGAGCAAAATGAAAAATACCGTGCAATTCTTTCCAAGCCACATTCAAGCGCTTCTAAGCAGTTATATTCATACTCATCTCCATCTATCAGCAGCTCTCCATCTTCTCAATCAAAAAGTTTGAGGGACTTCAGGGAGTCTAGTCCAAATCCTAGGCTTTCAAATGCTACTAATTCGGCTAAATATGAAAAGCGAGATTCTGCTGAAGCACCTTCACAATCAACGCCTAAAGGGGCATCGAATTTAGCAACTGATGAAATCATGAGCGCCAAGAGTATTCCCTATGATGATTCTACAAAATCTATACCATTATTATCAAGAAAAAGTGTTGAATCAACTATATCTAAACAAGAAACTGTGCTTTCCATATCAAACAGTCTTAATAATTCGAAAGAGCCTAGTACACCATCTCAACTTACATCTTCTGTTGCAAGCACGCCTTATCAGCATGTGGATAGTACGCCATATATTGTAAGTGAAACTTTTGCCACTAAAAACCTCTCTTCATGACTAACACAATTACCTAGGATAATTTTGAAAAGCAGTCTAGACCATCAGTCTCATCCGAAGTTGTTCTTTTTGTCAAGCCTGAAGAAATTCCTACTATTTGGCTAGATATAAGCACGCTCATCGGCAAGGTTAAGAGCGCATACAATAAAAAAGGAGATCCTGTTGCTCTGTTTACAATGCTTGATAGAGAAACAAAAAAAGAACTATGGAAAGTTCTTAAAGATTACAGTTCTCTGGCTGCCCTTGATCACATTCTCCGGCCTCTATTGCATCAGCTTAACATTCCAAAGCTGCCTGAGAAATTACTTTTTCAATCGCATGCTCCTTCGAAAGTAGACGCCAGAAAAGTCGGTTTGGAAGAATACTTTTTCAGCATTTTAACAATTCCCAATCTCCCACCTCTTGCTGCCCGAGCTTTATGTGAATTTTTGTCTACCGATATG